ATTATATACAAATTATTTTCTTAAAATACATTGTTCACTCTATCCGATGCCACAATTTCATTAACGAACTTATAAATAAAAAACCTACACAACACATTTAATAATAAAAAAACTAATTAACAATTTTTTTTTTTAGAAAAAAAATTATGCAACACATTTCATAATAACAAATACAATTCGTAGCTAGATATTGGTAATCCTAGCTAGAGATGTTAAATGGTCCTTATCCCAATAGGCCGGCCCGTTTAACCCGTAAAAAAGCAGGGTTATGGTCATTTATTAGTAGCCCGTTTAAATCATAACTTTTTAAGCCTGGACTGTTTACCCCGAAGCCTGCTAGGACTAGCCCGAAACCCGCTAGGAATAGCCCGTTTAATTAAGGTTGGGCGGTGTAAATATTAACATTAAGTAAGTAATACGCTTTTAGATTCCCTGTATATTAAAATTTTGCTATTCCACTTGTCATGTAAGTATGAGTTGTAATGGATTATTGTGCTTTTAAAAGATAATTATTAACAATATTGTTATCGTACTTCACACCAAAATATTTAAGCACATCAGAACGACTAATATGAAACACATGAAACATAGTGATAGAATTTATAGCGAAAATTCCTAAGACGTACAAAATAAGTAGTAAATGGAAATTGTAAGTAATAGTTTGAATATTTTTTATGTTTTGAGAAAAATGTGTTAGTTAAGAGTTTGTAATGTGTGTTCATATATGACGTGTAGTTGTATATATAGAGAGTTAAATACTAAATAGCCATTGGAAACAATCGTTAACTAGCTGTTGTTATTTTTTTTCTAAACGGAAATGTGTTACTATTAGTCCCGCCTCTACAAATTAATTAATCAAATTATGGTCTAAAGTTATAAAAAATAATAATCCGATTTTGGTATAAAGTGGACGATTTTATTTTAGATTTCTAATGCTCATTTTTTTTTTTTGTTAAGAAATGTGTTATTAATAAATGTCTTAATATATGGTATGAAGTGGGCGATTTTATTTTGATATGAAATGTAGGGATTCAAATGATATGAATTTTAGTTATTATGGCTATGAAAGTCAAATGTTAGGTTGATTTGCTGTAAAATCAAGGTGATATGATTATCAAATTCTAGCATATATATTGATGATAATTCGACAAATGGTATGTATTCCTCTTGAAAATAATAAAAAATATTTGAAAAAACATTGGTTAATAAAGTTTAAAAGTTTTAATTAAATTCTAGAGAATGAGTTAATAAATTTGAATAATAAGGTAAGCGGCAATAAATCTAGAAAATTGTGAGATAATATATATATATATATATATATATATATATATATATATATATTATTGTGTAGTCTAAATTTGAGTCTCAAATTTAAAAGTCAATAAGTAATTATTCATAACTTATGGATTAATATTAACTTGGACGTAAATGAGATAGTCAATTATTTATAGTTTAATAAATTACTCAACTACTTAAATATTTTTTAGTTTGGATAGTTTATACAAAATATAAATTTATTTAAATTAATGAAACAATATAAGTTTTATAATTATAGCTATTATTCACATAGATTTAAAGATATGATAAAATCTTTCCAAAACTAATTATTTTATAAAATCAAATTGTAGTCTAATCAAATTTCTAAATGAAAAATTTAAAATGACACTTATTTGAAAATAAATATAATGCAATTTATTATCAGCTGTAGGAGTTGTGTACATCAAATATACATGTTATATGTAATTTTGCACAATTTAAATTTCATATAACATTTTTAATAAATTAATATAATAATTCGTATTAATTCTTTATTTTAAAATTATAAGTATTAGTCAACAAACATTTTTAATTTACAAAAAATAATGAATATTTCTTACCAGTGCATCGCACGGGATTCGTACTAGTTCTTAATTATAAACAAACCATTTAAAAAGCAAGCATCAAACATAAAGTTATGCAACTTAAATATCAACGACAAAAATAGACATTAAGTTAACCGTATATAAAACTATAAACTTTAGTTTATATGTAATTAAAATAAGGACTTTGTAAAATACAAATAAAATAGATTTGAATCTAAATAATGTAATTTCTTTTTCCAAAAATAAGGCTAGGTAATACAGCTGTTTCGTGAGTTCAGTTCGACTAGCTAAACATAGGTTAGCATTTAATTAAGGGAAATTTGTATGTTTCCTGCATGAAATAGAAAATATTATAATTATACCATTGATAATCAAATAATTACAAATCTACTTAAATAAGGATTCTTTAATGCATATAAGCTTAAAAGCAGTTACATAACCCCCTCAATCCCCCAATTCCCGCATGATATCCAGTAAAAAAAAAAAAAATTGCTTTATGTAGATAGAATGAAAACCTGACTTTATATCTAATATATATACATAAAATAAACCATAAAAAATGATTGGTATATGTGTGGTATGTATATTCCATGATTTTACTAAATATAAACCATACATATACCGAAAACATACTGAAAATAAACCATAGATAA